TGAGTTAAGACAGGGGCTTCTTATCTTTTAGGTGATGTTAATGCCATACCAGAATCAGGTCAAGAAGTAAACCACTGCTTCGTTTGGTTAACAAAAGCCGCTTAGTGGGAATTTACTGTTTGTCAGCCTAACCCTGCTGGCCTCCTTACCATTTGCCAGCCTAACCCAGCTGGCCTCCTTAGGACAGAGTTTTTAGCAAAAAATTAGAGTTCAGTCCTCATATATATGTTTATAAGCCATAATTTGAATTGACCCTAATTTCCTAAAATATCAGTGAATTAAGAAAATACGCAAATGTCTTGGATGATTATATATGTTTGTATATGAGATAGTGCTTATAAAAAAATGACCCAGATGGTTTTTAACTTTCTGTCCTCTAGGGGTCACTTATGTCTGCAGAAAAAGAAAGAAAAGAGATTACTTCAAGATAATAATCATTGTGGATTGCTCGATTATATTAGGTACAAGAATTACAGAGAGTTTATACTTGATTTTCTATTTGTTTATTTTAAAAAGTTGCTGCAGTTCATTCATATAATAAATGTGATACATTGCTTTCTTTAATGTACTAACACTTAAATTATATTTTAAAGCTATCCTTAAAAACCTCAAATTACTACCTAATTGTTCGTTGTATAGCTACAAAGTACCAAATCATAGAATTAGCCCGACTTTCTAACATCACCAGAGCAAACCCCTCATTTCCTGAGCCCCTCAATCAAATCACCCCAAAAAAAGATTAAATTCTATAATAGGCACTTTCTGACACCTTCTTTCTGAGTCACCCTGTGGTTCCCAGGGGTGTGCATTGTTATGCAACCCATAATAAGCCCAACTTATTCATCTCCAGGTATGCTCCCCGGGCAAGGAGTCTTTGACTCAAGAACATTGATTGACAAGCCAAATGCATAAATAGCCACAGGGTTGTGGAGTCAGTTTGGCCAGGGTTGGATCCCTTGTTTTTGCCTTTTCAATTTTTTTAAAATAACAGGAGATAAATTCTCATAAACAAATACGCTGGATGACTTTAAACTTTCTGTCCCCTGGGCGTTCCTTATGTCTAGAGAGAGAAAAAAAAAGATTGATTACTTAATTAAAGACAGAAATTAATGGAGAGGTTGATTGTACTGGGTATAAGGACTGTGGAGGTGTCCTTGTTCCTATCCCATTCCAAAAGAAAAAAAAAAAAGAATAGTGAATTTAAAAAAGAAGAAAAAAGGGAAAAAAAAGGATTGTGGAGGTAACAGGTCCATGCATAGGATAATTGTATTTTAAAGCTAGAGTCAGGAACTATTTTTATGTTTGTATATGTATGCATGCCTAAATGCATACAAATCGATGGCTATCAATAGATCCTTTACTATGATTTGTTGCATGAATAATGTGCCAAAGGAATAAATTAGAATTTAGGTCTTCCATGTAAAGCCACTGTTTTATGCTCAGATGAATAAAGGCTCCTTTTGTCACCAAATCATTCTGTTAATGCTCAATGCTTTTTTGCATACTCTTCAAAAAAATTTTTTTGAGGACAACCCCCCGCCCTCCCTTGCAATAGTCCTGGCCTAATTTTACTGGCTCCTATTTTAAAACGCAGGCACAGACCTTACCCCTGAACACGGAGCGCGCTACCAGCAGGTGGAGGCGCTGAGCTCTGAGCTTGAAGAGACAGACGGCTGGAATCTGGCTGTTAGCTGGGGCTCGGACCCTGCCTCCTGCATCATTCTTCCTTTTGCAGATGGAGGAGCATGCAACGGTTCTTGCAAATCCCTGATCTTTCCCAGCCTGCCTGCTGGGGCTGCCCTGGCCCCTAGCGCTGCCTGCTCAGGACCTGCAGCTTAGCTGCCCATGCACCTGGAACGGTGGGTGCGCTGCACCTGGAACGGAATGTGCGCGCTCAGTGGCAAGGCGGGGTGCTTTGCCCCGAAGGCCAGCACACTGCCAGGGCGACGGGATGAAGGAGGGCGTTTCCCTGGCAACCGTGAGTCCCGCCTGCTCCAGGCTCTGGGCAGGGGGGAGGGGGAGGAGGGCAGCGTTTGCAAACTTTGCAAACTTGCAAAGTTTGCAAACTTTACCAAGGGGGGCGGCCCTGCACACTGGCCTTGGGAAGCAGGAGGAGGGTGACTTGCATCAAAAGCACTAGTTTGCAGAAGGGTTCTGGGCGCATTCACCTTGCAACCCGGGACTGGGTCACTGGTAAAGGAGGTGGGGGTGGGGCAGGCAGGGAGATCTGTCGCCGCTCCCTGCAGTCCCCCTTGGGGGGAAATGGGAGAGAACCCCAAGTCCTGGTCACGGGTCCAGCCACCTGTTGCTTTAGGAAAGTTCCCCCCTTGCAAAATAAGGAGGGAACGCCCCTGGGTCCCAGGAAAGAAGGGGTTGGGCTTATAGGCAGCAAAGCTAACTGCAATGCTTCGGGCCATGGAAGTTTGGGAGCTTCTGGAAGCTTTATTAATTTTTTGTTTTAAAATTCCACTAATTTGGCTGGGCACTGGTGGTTCACACCTGTAATCCCAGCACTCTAGGAGGCCGAGGCGGGAGGATTGCTCCAGGTCAGGAGTTCGAGACCAGCCTGAGCAAGAGCGAGACCCCATCTCTACTATAAATAGAAAGAAATTAATTGGCCAACTAATATCTATATAGAAAAAATTAGCCGGGCATGGTGGCGCATGCCTGTAGTCCCAGCTACTTGGGAGGAGGCTGAGGCAGGAGGATCGCTTGAGCCCAGGAGTTGGAGGTTGCTGTGAGCCAGGCTGACACCACAGCACTCACACCAGCCCAGGCAACAAAGTGAGACTCTGTCTCAAAGAAAAAATTCCATTCGTTCTCTCTATTCATCTTGAGGACTGCAGGTGACAGGACAGTGAAGTTTCTGTGTAAAAGTACTTAAGAGCAGTACTAGTAAAATGGGCCACTGTCACTAGAGAGGTAAGCGGAATTCCCAAGGTGGGAAAACAATGCCAGGCCATCATCTCACTCCTCCACGACCCTGAGAATAAATGCACAATTAGCAAAACATTATTTATAATATCATTGCAAGTGATATTTGTATGAAGTCCATTTGGAGGTGTTTAAAGGACCCTAGGGGGCCTTGAATCCTGTCCATGACCCACGTTGACAGTTTTATCAGGGTGTCACTGGCAGGTAGGACAGGCTTTGGAACACATCCTTGGCACCTACGTCCAGAATTAGGCCGCCAGTGTTGGTCTAATGTTGTGGCCAATGTATCATTCGTTGCTCTATGGGTATATCGTGAAGAATTTTTGTTGAACTCCATTCTCAAGTGCTCTGGCATGATCACTTGGCCATCTTGAGATGTAATGACCATCCTAAACTGAATTAGGGACTTGTTTCTGACAGTTAGTAAACAGTCTCTTTTGAATTTCTCCAAGACTTGACTTTTCTTTTCTTCTCTTTTCTCTTTTCTCTTTTCTCTTTTCTCTTTTCTCTTTTCTCTTCTTTTCTTTTCTTCTTCTCTTCTCTTCTCTTCTCTTCTCTTCTCTTCTCTTCTCTTCTCTTCTCTTCTCTTCTCTTTTTTTCTTTTCTTTTCTTTTCTTTTCTTTTCTTTTCTTTTCTTTTCTTTTCTTTTCTTTTTTTGAGACGCTTTGTTGCCCAGGCTAGAATGAGTGCCGTGGCGTCAGCCTAGCTCACAGCAACCTC